GCTTCTACGGCATCCATGCATTTTCTACGTTTCAAATCGGTACAAGATATATACAGTGGTTCTCAGAGAAGGGTATACGGGATCAACATTGCTAGATAAGGACCCCTTGGTGATTGTTAAGGATAAGTTTGGGGAGTTGATGCAGGAGGGGCTTCATGAATATAACAGGAGGCGGAATCAGGTTAATCTTGAGAAAAGGAGAAGGAAAGGTCAAATTTTTTTGAAACACAAAAAAGAGGACGTGCAAGAAAACGAGAGTGAGTCGTTGAGCCTTGACAGCGTGGAGAAGAGAGAGGAGAGGAGGAGATTTTATAGAGTACTTTTTGATGAAAATCCATGAGAAGGCTTCAGCAGGTCGAATTTTTTCAGGTATGGATTGGATTGGTGTTTGTTAGTTAAAAGTATGCGAAAACAACATAAAAAAAAAAACGATGCTTGGCTTAAAGCTAACAGGTTTCGATAGAGCTGATCGTTATAAATATATAATAGGCTGTAATGTGTTGTATTCCACATGGGAACAAATGGTCTTTTTTGTATAGCAAAACATACTTGTGTCTCTTAAAAAAGGATTAGGTGGAAAAATTGAAGGGAGTATTATTGCATTTGGAGGTGAAGCCTGTTACCATGTAGTTATTGTGATTTACTATGCTCTAATTAAGTCATTATAAGTTTTATCCCTAAGTGAATATATTTAAGAATTAAAACTTTATATATATCCCAATACAAGAATCTGAGCAAGTCACGGCGATCGATTAGGCTCACTGAAGAATTAAAAGAGATCAGGCGAACTTACCTTGGAGGAGTTTGACTGAACAGGGCATTCACCCTTGTCATGTGGAATTTGTCTATAGCACAATCACCCTAGCCAGGGACAAATACCTCAAAGGCATTTGCCTCAAAAGAACTAACCTATTTGGAGCACTCGTCTTAGAAGAACTCGCTTAATTGGGGCATATGCTTTGGAAGAACTCGCCTCAAATAGAGGATCATATACCCAATTGGTAGGAGATGCTCATCCACCCAAACAATAACAACTTCACCAATTCTACCAGTGTCTCAATAAAAATTCTCACTCGCGGAAGGCCCTCCTTGGAGGCACTCGCCGAACGTATTCGTCGGAGGAGCTCACTGGAGGTACAGGCCTGAAGTACTCACTGCAGGAGTCATAGGGCTACTTTAGAGATGTTTTTCTATGATTAACCCCCAGGGTCTTGTTCATATGCCCATAACAGTCAAATCATGTATTATTTTAAAACTCTTGGAAGTAGCTCCTCCTATAGCCTTTATAACCTTATAAATACATTGTTGAGATGCATTTTTTTGGACTTCATGACAATTTCTATTCACAAAGAGGATGTAGATCTTCAACGGTTTTCCTTCTCGCTCGCCTACTTGTTCCTTTCTTGCTCGAAATTAGCCTTGCTAGTTTTAAGAGTAGTGTCAAAGTATTTCCCATTAACAAATTTGAATCCAACATTCTTTTAGGTGTGGTGCTTGCATTGATGTCATTGACTAAAAGCCTAGCACTATGGGAAGCAAAGTAGTAAGGCGGAGAATGACTCATGAATATGGAGATTTGAGACTTCATCGCTAATAGTCAACTCGCCCTTAGAATTCATTAAATACTTGGGGGAACTTGCGACCATATACTTGACTCCTCTAAAGATTAAACTCGCCAAGTGAAAAATCAACTTAGTCGAAATCACTAAAGAAAGAGTTCAACAACCCAATAGATTCAAGCTTGAAAATCAGATAAATTGATTTCCTTATGAGAATTTTTTTCTTATTTCTTCTCATTTGTATGTCACCACAAGAATATCTGAATGAGAATCCTTTTTCTCAATTGTGTCATATTAAAAGTCAAATTCACGGTTAAATCTAATAAAGAAAGACCATTCCTAATATTTTCTAGCCAAGTCTTTTTAAGTCTACCACAAATTTTCTTAACATAAGTCAAATCTAATACATCAACTTTCTTAACCGGGCCATCGGAAGGCCTCCGTTTAATGTGAACAAACCATCTAAGATGGCTCTCTCTAATCTTATCTTCCACTGAGGGTTCAGTTGGTTGCTTCAATTTTGAAACCGTGCAACCGCGCAGCTTCTCAAATTTATCATTTGATTAGAACAATAAAAGCAATTACAACATCAAATCTTTATCTCGTTATATGGGGTTGGTTACACAAATCTTTTTTTCTCCATTGTTCCATCTTCACTCTTAAAAATAAGTGAAAATAAAATTTTGTGATAGATTGCTTCAAGAAATAGACCACAAACGTCGTAATGTCTTGAGACAATTTTCCGTGATTCCTTTCTTAGGAACTTGGAGAACAAGTCTTATTTTGTGTGAGGAGCATTTTTATTTATTTTAAGGTGCTTTGCGTTAAGGGAATCTGCTATAGTGATTACCATTTGTAATACTTTTAATAACCAAATTGTTTCAGGAACCAGTTCTTCCATTGATCGCTTGACTGATTGATCTGCACATTGTTCCCTCGGAGGTGAACTTCCCTGGAATGATGATTAGGCCATTGTAGCTTAGGTTTGATGATCCAGGATTTTTTATTTTTGGTGGTATTATGTGCTTATTATTGCAGGAATCTTAGCCCGGTGCATCTTGGATGGTTGAGAGTAGAAATTACTATGTGCGGAGACCAGGTGCAGAACGCCGTTCAGAGACCAATCAGAATGCGTCATGTTAGCGGTATCAAACTGTAGTACTGAGGTGTATAGAGCAATACCGAGCCGCATGCATTCTAATTGGTCTCTGGACAACGGATGATGTTCGGTGTCCGCATAAAATAATTAATAGGTTGAGAGAAGTTAGAATGAGTAGGGCTGTCAATTCGTGTCAGCGGGTCGTGTTCGGGTCAGACCCGAACTTGACCCGGCAATAACTGACACGACCCGGAATTGGTTTCGGGACATTTCTGTAGACCCGAACCTGACCCGGATCGGGTCCGGGTCAACACGACCCGACACGGAAAATTTTAAATATATGAAAAATATTAAAAAAATGTTAAAAATTAGAGTTAAATTGAATTAGTGAAACAGTAATTAAACAAAAAAAGTAATTTGATTAGCAGCAAGCTATCAAAACATTAATTTAACAATAAACACCAAAATAATAACGTTTAACAGCATTTATTTACAAATTACAATTCCCATTTAACAGCATAACGTTTAACAGCATAACATCAAACACTCAAACAACTAAAATTTAATTACAAATTACAATCATTTATTACAAATTACTGAAATTAGTGAACTACAGAAGTACAAATATACAATTTTAAGTTTTTAACTCACGCCAAGAGGCCCAAGACGGCCAAGTGCTAACAGCAAACACTTCAATACTTAATCTTGAATTCTTGATTGTTGAACCTGTATTCAACTTGAATTAAGAGAAAAAAAGGTTAAACAATAAACACTAAAAGTTAAAAACTAAAAACTAAAAAGTAATAAACAAATAGAAATGATAAATTTCCAAATAATGTGAAGCCCTAGATTGCATAATTGTATAACTAGAAAGTTTTATTTCATTAATCATTAGCTCAGGGAAACCCTCAAAGTCTCCAACACACTAAGCCAGTATTTAATCTCGAACATATTCGATTTTTATAACTATTACCATCCAAGGTGGCAATTTGCATTAAACTTAATGACTTAATGTAGTATCAATGAATTAACAAAATATCTGCTCATGAATTTAGGCATTTAGCTAATACAAATGCCACCTGGTTGCAATAGTTGACTCAACAGCTATCACTTTCTGTTTAGAAGGTTTTTCATCATTGCTTGAGCTTTCATAATTATACAATATACCCTTTAGCAGTTTAGCCTTCACATTAATTGATCAAAAAGACAAAAACAATAAAACATTAATTCATTGCAAGTAGTTTAGCCTTCACCGGATACATTAACATTTAACAACAACATTGCAAGTCGGCAACAGGCTAACAGCCTAACAGCAACGGCCAACATCCAGGCACCCATGACCAGTAGCCAGGAGACAGCAGTCTCACTTAATCAGAATTCAGAAAACTTAAAATTGAAACAACCAAATTGCAAGTAGCAACAACAATAAATAATTACATAAAATTCAGTTTATAAGCAGACAGCCAGATAATAAAACTGCAAACTAATGCTGATTAAGTGAGATACCAACCCTTCAGAGCTAAATTTAAGGAGAACGCAGAACAGTTACTGTCTTACTGAACAACACCAAAAAGGCAAAATTCCATATTTACAACCATGCAGCAGTAGTTTAAAAACAATAAAGTGAAGCAGCAACTAGCAAGTGTCCAAACAGTAGTTCATTTTTAAGAAATGCAATAAAAAAACCACTAGGCAACTCTGTTATCTGAACATTTGGCATCCTCGCTGAAAATTTCTGAAAATCTCATAATAACCCCAAACCGTTGAACACATTCTTCGTCTTTTCTTTGTACATGACGGTTCATCTCCTTCTTTTTCAATAATATTACACAAATCATCATCTTCTTTTTCAAAGTCAGCTGAAATAGGAGCATTTCCTAGATCCACATTCTCAATGAATGGAGTACTTTCTACCACTGTGTTAGAATCCTCCATCTATTCAACAACAACAATATATAAATTATTAATAACTATTCAATCTCAAACCCCCAAACCCAAATAATATTGTAATACATGGCTCCACCCTCCAGACCTCCAACAATAACATTAACAAATTGAAATTGACAAAACAACATTAAAAATAAATAGCATTCAAATGTTTAAGATATACTACAAAGTCCAAATTCCCGGGACCACAGAGGCACAGGCACAGTGGCGCACAACACACCTACACATGGGCCATGGCTACAGGTAAAACTAAGATCAATTTAAACTCAGTCGGTCAATCCACAGTCCACACTCAGCTACAACCACAACAAAAAGAAATAAGGATGACGACGACGAACATGAACAGAGCGACAAGCCAACAAAGGGTGAAATGGATTTACCGATTTAACATTTCAGTTAAGCTCAAATATTAATAATGTAATCAAACATAAATAAAATCTTGAAAATCAGTAAAGAATAAAGGAAATAACTCAATAAGTGATAAACTGATAAATCAACTCTAGGGTTTGTAGTTTGCTAATCACGAAATCTTCACGACATTCCCTAATCCTTAGGGTTTCTACTATAATCAATAAATCTTGCCATTTACCAAGAAATAATCCTATCAAAATAGTTTATCCAAAAGATCAAAAGGAAATTCTGATTCTCGGTATATGACGACATGGGGAGAGCACGAGACTTCAAGACTCAAGATGATAACTGTAGTCTGTAAAAGGAGAGGACTGAGAAATGAGGATACTTAAAATCAGAATTCATTACCAGCGCTCACGAAGAACTGAAGAAGGAAGAGGAAAGGCGGAAAATCGAAAACATAATTATGGAAGGTCAATTTATAAGTTATGATGAATGCCATATGAAATTCCGATAAG